ATTTTATGAATGAAAAATGGGCAAACCCAAAACTATTACGGGAAAAAAATAACAACAAATAAACATTCGCAAACTCTGAAATCTTGTCCCAGAGTTTTTGCATTTTTAACTCTTTATTTTAAAAGTCGCGTTCAGTTCAACCTCGGATTGGTGTCTCGAAATACATTTTTCTGCTATAATTTCTCACGACCGTATTTGTATTCAGCACAACGCTGCATATCCAACAGTCTCAGCAAATCAACCCCGGCCAATTATGCGCCCACACCCAGTCAGGTATTTGTGCATTGAGTGAGTGTCATTTTACTATAGCGGAGATTTTCACTAATCCGACCTTTTCACACGCAACTCTGGCCGTTGCCTGATGATGCAGGTTGTTGTTGTTTTTGTAATTACTGGGGAAATGTCAGCGTTCTCGAATTGCAATGTTGTTGTGGGTTTTACTCTTCAACACACCTGTGTGCAGAACTAGTAACGAATTGCCATGTATTTGTTTACGTGACAAACCGTACCAATTGGCTGTGTCGGCTGGTGGCGGGTTTAACGACACATTGATATTTATCTAATCCAAAAAAAACCCCCTCCATTATGGAGTCATGAATATTATTCTTACTTTCGTGCACAGCTTAAAATGTTCTCAATTTTTGTTCTATTTTGGATTTGGGCTGTGACACGGCACGCAGTTATCACGCCTTACGGCAACAGGCTACATTAACGTTGCCCCGTAAAGAAGACCGCACCGTAGAATTGACCGGGTGCCTTCACAGCGGTCGAACGGTTTTGCTCTCGTGCGAATTGGAACAGTGGACGAGCGCTACGCTCGGCTATCACGTCACCTACATTTGGCGACATTTCCTGAACGTTCCTCAAAGCCACGTTCCGGCGTGCCTCCAGGAAGGATTCTGTCATGAAAATTATGCCACCACCCCGTGTCCCGAAGGAGGAAAACCGCTGACCCTAAACCCCCTAAACCCCCTAAACCCCCTAAACCCCCTAAACCCCGGCCTCTCATTTCTGAGAACCCCGCAGTGGATCCGTCCACGTTACTGTCTCGCGACATTATAACGGGACAACAATGACCGTTGCCGAATGATTATTCACCCGTGTTGTGCCAATTCAGATAAAACGCAATGTGTTTGCCAGGTGCATAATTTACAGCAACCTCGTGAGCGTTGGGAGCTTACGTCGAGGGCAGTCAGGGGAGGTGTCGATCACTCGCGCCCTTTGGGATACGTGCTTTGAGATATCTTACCAACAACGATTCAACCGACTCGGTGCCGTCAAGCTCTGTACGGGGACTCCTCTACTTACGAACATTCGATTAATTCACTTTTAGAGATACGATCAGCAGATCTTTCCCCCAGTGACTCAGGTGCTGCTGCGGGGTCCCACCTTCTGCCGCCAGCAGTCGATAGAACACATCCCTGCGGAGGGAGCTGGTAGGAACGTTGGGTTGCTCGGTCAATGGCCAGGGTCAACGGCGGCACCACGTGGTGTATTCCGCAAATGTTCCCGACTGTGAGGGCGGGCAACAAGCCGGCGTGAGTAGGTTAAACGTTGAGTTTTATAAGGGCACCACGGGGTGACCAGCCCCTCCCCACCCAGCCCCACCCCTCCCACCCCCAACCCAGCCCCACCTTCCCCAACCCAGCCCCTCCCCACCAAGCCCCTCCCCACCCTCCCCACCCAGCCCCTCCCCACCCAGCCCCACCCCTCCCATTTTTGGATGCACGACGGACGGACACAATGATCCCCTGTGGGCTGGTGGTGTAACCAGGAGCTTCCTACCAGTATAATGGCTAAGTATGGTGATAGCCGAGCCGGTGGTGGCGCACGCTTGTAAACCGCCACTGTGCATGCCGCAGAGGTTGGCGAATCGCCACGGTGGCTAGGAGATGTTAACTACCTCGCCTGGTTTGCAGGAGGTCGGGGTACGATCCCGACCCCGACGCCTGCTGCTGTATATTTTGGAGCTTGCGTGTCTCTCTCCCCGTGGTCGCGTGGATTTTTCTCCGCATCCTCCGTTTTTTTTCTCTCCGCATTTACATAGAATCAACGTACGACCAGAGTATTTGACTGTTGCTCTACATTTCCACGCAATAAGCCACTTTGTTGAGCTGTTTATTTGTGGCCAGGTCGCTTCTGAAAACAAGATACGTAGCTCAGTTGGGCCTTGCCTGGCAAAATACAATTTAAAAAAAGGTCAAATAGGTAACAGGATTGGACAAATGTTGCAGAACTCCCTTCCCATGGGCACAGAGGAGGTGGCCATACAACTGGCTCGCCAGAGAGAGGTGGTACAGCACAGTGCGGACCCATGCCATCTGTCCTCTGCGTATGGGATATAGAGTGTTGCCCCCTCGCACGTGTGGGTGTTCCCCGGGTGCTCTGGTTCCCTCCCACGTATTAACACTCACCAATTGGCTGAAACAACTGAATATATGGAGAACTGCAGAGCTCGGGCAATTGTTGTTGCTTGTTCCTCAGCGATTGTGAGATGCAATTTGCATGAACGACGCTATACGAAGCTAAACATTATTTTCATGCTCTTGATTTGAGGCTTTCGCGACTGCAGGAAATCCATACTCTCTGGTTCTTTCGGTAAAGTCACGTAGATAGAAAAAATAATAATAAAAGAACACGACGTTTCGGTCGCAACACAAGCGTCCGTGACTTTACCGAAAGAACCAGAGAGTATTATGATAATGCTCTTTCAGGTATAAGCCTGCATCCATTCCGGATTGTTTATTTTTCTTCCTGTTTGCCAACCTAAATGTGAAGTCAGCTGACCTTTCTCTGTAGCTAGTTTTAAGTTGTAAGACTCATCCATTGTTGCAAATATCAGCCAAAGAAATCAAAGTAAATAAGAGTTCAGTTCAGTAAAGTCACGTAGAAATAAGAAATAATAAAATTACATAATAGCATACGACGTTTCGATTGCAACACAAGCAGTCATCATCAGGTACAGAAGAGCTAAATTTACGAGAGAGAGGAGACACATAACCGCAGATATATATACAGACACAGATACAACAGGGGATGCAGAGAGAGATAGAGGGGGGTAGCACACTAAATCAAACAAAGTTTAGCAAAATTTGGAAACCATATAACGCAAACAATGCTTTCGTGACTGCAGTAATTCATATTCTTAGCTCTTTCGGTAAAGTCACGTTGAAGGGAAACAATAAAATAATAAAATATAACAAAAATATAATACAAATGTATTGTTTTATATATATTTTATTATTTTATTGTTTCCCTTCAACGTGACTTTATCGAAAGAGCTAAGAATATAATGCTAAACCTTGTTTGATTTAGTGTGCTCCCCCCGTCTATCTCTCTCTGTATCCCCTGTTGTATCTGTGTCTGTATATATATCTGCGGTTATGTGTCTCCTCTCTCTCGTAAATTTAGCTCTTCTGTACCTGACGATGATTGCTTGTGTTGCAATCGAAACGTCGTACGCTATTATGTAATTTTATTATTTCTTATTTCTACGTGACTTTACCGAAAAAAACAAAGAATAACTCCTGCAGTCACGAAAGCTCCAAATTCAAGTTATAGTTCAGTTCACTTTGTTTGCAATTGCCCTGTGAGCCAATGAGCTCTTAAATCGTGTTTCGTCAACAACAACGCCGCTGCCGCTGCTTCTCCGACAAAAACGCAACAAGTCACAGTAATATGAATAAAATAAATAAACAATAAGAGATAAGTGAAATTTTTTTGTTAAAATAACCTAGCAAATCATAATCGCAATGTAAACATTAGCTTTTATTTCAAAGGAAAACAAGTTAAACGTACATTTAATTATCATCAAATACCACGCTGTATCTAAAAAAAATAAGTAATTTAAATCTGCCTTAGTAATTGCAATGCAGGTACAGCCTCAAAAACGATGGCATTATTGGTCTGATTCTTGGCCACAGCCAACATCAGTGGTGAGTGATGTGTGAACCGGTCCTGGGTTGCACTTTGCAGAGACAGCATGTCGTGTACTCGCGTTCTAGGCGTGGGCATAATGCCGTACATATTATGCACGACCGGAAAGATTGCGTAATGCTCCCCATCTTCCTTTCCATAAACACCCGTGGGTTTTTTTTTATTTCGTACCGCAAACACATGATGATGATTTTTTTTTTAGCAACATCAGCGGCAAGCCGAGGGGGCCAATCACGCGAATCGGCCGCAATTCCGGAGCAAACACCGGTGGGACGTGAGACGTGAGCCAAGCTTCGCGCAGCTGCTCCCCCACAAGCCTCGTTTCGTCGGTGACAGAGACAGAGAGAGGGAGAGACCTTCCCGCGCGCGACAGCAAGCGTTTCAAAAATGGAACAAAAATTCTGAGTGCGCCGACTTGCCCGAAGCGATCCGCTGTCGCCGATCATCGGCGTGGCTCACTCACGAACGAGAGCGGCGTCGTCACTAACGTCGTCACTAACGAGAGCGGCGTCGTCACTAACGTCGTCACTAACGTCGTCACTAACGTCGTCACTAACAAGAGCAGCGTCGTCACTAACGAGAGCAGCGTCGTCACTAACGTCGTCACTAACATCGTCACTAACGAGAGCGGCGTCGTCACTAACATCGTCACTAACGAGAGCAGCGTCGTCACTAACGTCGTCACTAAAGAGAGCGGCGTCGTCACTAACGAGAGCGGCGTCGTCACTAACGTCGTCACTAACAAGAGCAGCGTCGTCACTAACGTCGTCACTAACGTCGTCACTAACGAGAGCGGCGTCGTCACTAACGAGAGCGGCGTCGTCACTAACGTCGTCACTAACGTCGTCACTAACGTCGTCACTAACGAGAGCAGCGTCGTCACTAACGTCGTCACTAACGAGAGCAGCGTCGTCACTAAACGAGAGCGGCGTCGTCACTAACGTCGTCACTAACGTCGTCACTAACGTCGTCACTAACGTCGTCACTAACGAGATCAGCGTTGTCCCCCCCCCCCACCCCGGATTGAGTACAGCGCTGACATATCCAAAGCGTAAGAATAGATGTTACACTTTCTGGCAATAAAGCAACAGTTCGTGTTAAGATGTTAAAACACCAAACAGAAATCTTTTGCAAGGAATCCTGTCTGCATTAACCACATTAACACGCAGTAACAGCAAATTAAAAAAAAACACATGCTCTGGTAGTTTATGATAAATTGTCTTTTAAACTGATTGGTCCACACCAGAGACAGATTTATTTTGAGCCTTGATAAGAGGTTTTTTCCCCTTTTTTCTGGCAATAAAACAGGTGTTAAGATGTTAAAACACCAAACTGAAACCTTTTTACAAGACATCATGGCTGCATTAACCACAAAACTTGTGGTCAGAATGCAAACAAAAAACATACTCCGATAATATGACGCATTGTCCTTGAAACTGATTGGTCCACACCGGAGACAGCGTTCTTTGTGAGCCTCGTCTCTAACGGCGTTAGACCAGAGGACGCCAAAAGGCGAACAGCACAAAGACAATGCCACTATCAGGGCACTGAAGAGCTCGAGGCGAGTTGCCACATCGTGGGACCTCCTTTGCCAGGGTCAAAATATAAGAATAGGTTTTACCCTTTCTGGCAATAAAACAGTTTGTGTTAATTTGTTAAAACACCAAACAGAAAAAAAAAAACACACACATTTTTGATTTAAAGCTTTCGTGACTGCAGGGATTCGTATTCTTGGTTATTTCGGTAAAGTCACGTAGAAGGGAAACAATAAAAGAATAAGTTATTTATAATTTATCATTTTTATTATTTCATTGTTACCCTTCTACGTGACTTTACCGAAAGAATCAAGAATAGAAAAAACATTTTTCAAGGAACCCAAAGCCCATTCCCCCCCCCCCCCCCCCCGGTTCCCGGATCCCAGCCCCGGCGAACCGCCCTGGTCACGACTGCAGGTGGATGTCGCCGTTGACAAGACAACACTGGCCGCCGCTACTTACCCCCTCGATCAAGTGCGCCGGCTTCTTCCTCCGGATTTGTATGGATTACATTGCCCGCGAATAAATTTGTTGGACAGCCACAGAGGAACATCAACCCCCCCCCCCCGCCCCCCCCCCCCCTAGCCACACATCCTCCTCTCCTTCCCCTCCACCGCTGGCAGACTCGTGGGCATGTTCTGGGTTCACCTCGTGGCCATGTTCTGGGTTCACCTCTTGGGCATGTTCTGGGTTCACCTTGTGGCCATGTTCTGGGTTCACCTTGTGGCCATGTTCTGGGTTCACCTCGTGGGCATGTTCTGGGTTCACCTTGTGGCCATATTCTGGGTTCACCTTGTGGCCATGTTCTGGGTTCACCTTGTGGGCATGTTCTGGGTTCACCTCGTGGCCATGTTCTGGGTTCACCTTGTGGCCATGTTCTGGGTTCATCTTGTGGCCATGTTCTGGGTTCACCTCGTGGGCATGTTCTGGGTTCACCTCTTGGGCATGTTCTGGGTTCACCTCGTGGCCATGTTCTGGGTTCACCTCGTGGGCATGTTCTGGGTTCACCTTGTGGCCATGTTCTGGGTTCACCTTGTGGCCATGTTCTGGGTTCACCTTGTGGCCATGTTCTGGGTTCACCTCGTGGCCATGTTCTGGGTTCACCTCGTGGCCATGTTCTGGGTTCGCCTTGTGGGCATGTTCTGGGTTCACCTTGTGGCCATGTTCTGGGTTCACCTTGTGGCCATGTTCTGGGTTCATCTTGTGGCCATGTTCTGGGTTCACCTCGTGGGCATGTTCTGGGTTCACCTCGTGGGCATGTTCTGGGTTCACCTTGTGGCCATGTTCTGGGTTCACCTTGTGGCCATGTTCTGGGTTCACCTCGTGGCCATGTTCTGGGTTCACCTTGTGGGCATGTTCTGGGTTCACCTTGTGGGCATGTTCTGGGTTCATCTTGTGGGCATGTTCTGGGTTCACCTCTTGGGCATGTTCTGGGTTCATCTTGTGGCCATGTTCTGGGTTCACCTCGTGGCCATGTTCTGGGTTCGCCTTGTGGGCATGTTCTGGGTTCACCTCGTGGGCATGTTCTGGGTTCACCTTGTGGCCATGTTCTGGGTTCACCTCGTGGGCATGTTCTGGGTTCACCTTGTGGCCATGTTCTGGGTTCACCTCGTGGGCATGTTCTGGGTTCACCTCGTGGCCATGTTCTGGGTTCGCCTTGTGGGCATGTTCTGGGTTCACCTCGTGGGCATGTTCTGGGTTCACCTTGTGGCCATGTTCTGGGTTCACCTCGTGGGCATGTTCTGGGTTCACCTTGTGGGCATGTTCTGGGTTCACCTTGTGGCCATGTTCTGGGTTCACCTCGTGGGCATGTTCTGGGTTCATCTTGTGATCACCTCGTGGGCATGTTCTGGGTTCGCCTTGTGGCCATGTTCTGGGTTCACCTCGTGGGCATGTTCTGGGTTCACCTCGTGGGCATGTTCTGGGTTCATCTTGTGGCCATGTTCTGGGTTCACCTCGTGGGCATGTTCTGGGTTCACCTCGTGGCCATGTTCTGGGTTCACCTCGTGGGCATGTTCTGGGTTCATCTTGTGGCCATGTTCTGGGTTCACCTCGTGGGCATGTTCTGAGTTCACCTTGTGGCCATGTTCTGGGTTCACCTTGTGGCCATGTTCTGGGTTCACCTTGTGGCCATGTTCTGGGTTCACCTCGTGGACATGTTCTGGGTTCACCTTGTGGCCATGTTCTGGGTTCACCTTGTGGCCATGTTCTGGATTCACCTTGTATCTCAAAGGGACAGCTGCCATCAGGGCGCCCCCTCCCCCGTCCCCACAGCCACCGACGGGGAACGCGCTACGAGACCGCGCTGCATGAGAGGGTGAGAAGGAGGTGCGTGGGTTATGAACATTAAAGTGACAAAGATGAATCGGAGAGGGCATCCCCGCGTATAGATTACCCCCCCCCCCCCCAGCTGATCTCTAACGATCCTCTTCATTTATTCTCAACAGGCGGCTTTGGATGCCGTGTGCGCGACGGGGAGGGAGGGGGTGAAGAGGCCTCCGTACCCTTCGAGCTTGGGGAGAATCACGAGGGTTGAACGAGCCAGCTGAGACTGCCGTGCGGGAAGCTTTGCCAGCGTGAATTCCTCACTGTATCGTTTTCGTGTGCTATCTATAAATGGGGCATCACCACAGTTCCCAGGGCCAGCGTTTCCAAAGAAAATCCAACGATTATTGTTTAAGCTGCTGATGACTCGTCGAGACACGGGAGTAGTTTTTTTGTTACAGAAATAATAATCGGTTTTTTTTGTTAATACAATTCCCGTAGCAATGTTGATATATTGCGGACAATTCTAGATTTAAAGCTTTCGTGACTGCAAGCATCCATACTCTTTGGTTCTATTCGGTAAAGTCACGTGACTTTACCGAATAGAACCAAAGAGTATATTGAGGACAATTTCCTTGTTGTAATGTTGGGCCGTCGTGCATCACACGGTGATCTATTATTTTTATTTCCATTGTCATGCAAGTCCCCATTCGCCGTGTAATGATTCATCGACATGATTCGCCGGCTGACAGCGGCGAGCGATACCTGAACCGCTCCTGGGTCCCCCCCCCACCCACCCACTTCACCAACCCGCCACTGACCGGCGTGGTGAAGTATGGCCAAACGACCCCCGTGATTGACATGCCGCGGGGGCAGCCCTTCATCCGGCGGTGGGTTGACAAAGAGCCGAACGCGAAGAGGTGAGATCGCGAGTCTCACGCTACAATAATATTTGTTTGGCAAGCTGTTGCGTTGTATAACCGGTCCCCCCGGGGCAAGGACAGCTCAGGTCACAGCCAGAAAATGTCAGGAACACGTTGGCCATACGCCCAAAAAATATCCTAAAATGCCCCCCCCCCACCCCCCCCCAGCACCATCATCTCTCCATACATACACCTACCTACCTATGCCTCTATTGACCACCGATACACCGCTGAAAAACAGCCGTCCGTAATTGAATGTAATTAAATTCCCTTACAGAAGAAAATTGCTCGGCTTAGTGCTGTTATTATGGCCTCTCCGAGGAGGGCAGTAATGCACAATGATTTGTTAAAATCCACGTAAGCTCTAACTTCATTTGTCAATTTCAGTTAATGTTATTTTGCCAGTTTTGGGATTAAGTGACCACGTTTCTAGTGGCCATTTAATAATTGTATAGCTTCTTTGGTGCAATATTTTGCACTCCGATCGTACGTGTTTTCTCCCAAAAAAATAGATAATTTGCGCACGAAAAATGCTTCCGCAGATTTTTTTTAAACGTTATTATTGTCATTGTTATCGTCGTCTCTGCAGGTGATGGCCTCAAATGGCACGGAAGCACTCGTATGGCTCAAAATTTGTCAAAGGCCCGTGGTAAACACGCAAATAACTATTGTTATTTTTTTAAAGGGATTTTTAAATGAATATTTTTCATAAAAGGAGCTTTTAAAAATACAAATAGTGCACCTGCCCAAACTGGGGTATGTGCTAAGGGTAATTTTGGGACGACATTTTTTCAGATATTTTGATTTTTAAGGGCCGGTTTCTCATTTTAATTTGTACGTTCAAACGTTTGCATTTAAAATCATTAAACGTACAATGACGCTCGTTTGTTTATGCTACAAAAAATGCAGAATGAAATATGAACGTCTGCGTTTAAAATGTGAGCATAGAATTCTAGCTGGAAAACAAGTCGAATTCTAACACATTTAAAACGTGCGATCAAGAAATCCGCGGAAGCATTTGCCGCGCGCAAATTATCTAAATTTTCCCTGAGAAAACACGTACAATCGGAGTGCAAAGTGTTGCACGAAAGCAGCTCTACACAGCACCTTTTAAATGTGATATTCCTCCAGCAATGTTGACTCCCTCGCCTGGTATGCAGCAGGTTGTGTGTTCGATCCCGACTCCGATGATGCGTGTGACACACGTCCAGCTGATCCTTGAGACCTCCGAATAAATTTTTCATCTCATTCCGATGGCACAATTAGACTAAAGGGGGGGGGGGGTGGTGCATGGGGGGGGGTGGCATAGAAGCAAAAATATTGAAGCCGAAACTTTATTTGTAAAAAAAAAGAACAGATATTGAAAGATGAAACCCGACGGTGGTTGAGTTGCTTTGGACAAGCTCCACAATGGGAATGTGGAATTTCCACCAATTGGGATGAACATCACCCCCCCCCCCCCCCCCCCCACACACACACATCCTATCCTCTCTCAATTGATCAGGGAGAGACGCCTTCTTGACGTTGATTAAACATAGCACGGAATGCGTTTTACCATTACGACAATATAACTCGGAAACGTTCATAAGCAGATCACGTGATTTAAATTGCACACAAATTGGTAACGGCATTAACGAGAGTTGAAATCGGGTTAAAAAAAATGGCAAAGGCACAGCCCTGCAAATGTCTCGCTGTCACCGCTGCTGGCGGAATGGGCCTCCATACTCGAGGGAGCTCTCTAGGAAGCCCCTGCAGAGTGTATTTGGCCTACTCCTCCACGCTGGCCAGACCTCATTAATATAGCGCTTCTCATCAAGGATCTCAAAGCGCTGAGCGTAAACCACAAATTTTACCCCACCGTACGTGATCTGCCGGGGGTAGGAGGTGTGGAGGGTTGTTAAGAAATGTTCCCGTCGCTTTAACTGTGGTGCCGGGAGGTGGAATCGTATCGGCGGAGCTCTGCAGTTACAAGTCCAGGGTGCTGACCGTTACACCAAAGCAGATTCCGTTTGGCAATAGGCGTCCAGATGGTGACTGACTGCGATTGGAGGGAGTCCGTGACATGTGCAGTAGCTTGTTTGGAGATGTACCTCATCCACGGCGTCCCAAAATGTACTTATTCGGAAATAACAATATAAAGGACGCGTAGATTTGTGGCCTGCTCGTAAGTAAGATTAAATTGGGGGGGGGGGGGGAGGTCGTATGCAATGTCATCCAGCCCATCGATTTTGCAAATACATTATCTTTGAATAAAAAGGGACTTAATTCGATTTTAACACAAAATTATTGTTATAATATATCAGCCCGGTAGCGATGCTCACCGGTGTCAAACAAAAGCACCCCAACCAATAAAGCACCCACGCCCTGTGCAGCATCGGTCCTGCAACTCTCATTTTCTAGCGATGTTCACAATGCCGACTGTTTCACGCACGCTCATGCATTCTTAATCTCGTGCACGTACATTCGCTCACTTTGTAAAGTAGGGTCACGTATTTTCCACCCGCGTTTAAAGCAGCTTGTGCTTTACAACTCGACATCTGTGAGAAGGAGCTTTATAGCACATCGGATTCCCCCAGTATAAATAAACATTATGATTCTGAAAAGCACATGATGTAACTGTCAATTTATAATGGTGTTCACATATTTGACATTTTCACATAATCGTCTCATCCTCAGTCCCCAGTGAGATGAATATGTGAAAATTCTACTGTAAACAACAACGACAACAAAAAGCTAACCTCTAGTAAACATGGAACGTTGGGACAACATTGGGCCAAAGGTTCCAACCACATGCCAACGTTGTGCCAACCATGGGTCAACGTTGGCATGCCAACCATGGGTCGACGTTGGCATGCCAACCATGTGTCGACGTTGGCATGCCAACCATGTGTCAACGTTGGCATGCCAACCATGTGTCGACGTTGGCATGCCAACCATGTGTCGACGTTGGCATGCCAACCACGTGTCGACGTTGGCATGCCAACCATGTGTCAACGTTGGCATGCCAACCATGTGTCGATGTTGGCATGCCAACCATGGGTCAATGTTGGCATGCTCGCTGGGTTGTCCCTAACATATTGTACCTACGTTCACCCAAAACAATTCCTGCACAAGACCAAGCTCGTATCAAATGGATCCTCAGGATGTAATAAAGGCCATTGAATTATTGATTCGTACCATGAATTATGCATTCATAATAACGATGTTCATGTTTCCCATGCACGCCCAGGGATGTACGATTGATTTGGAGGTTAAGAGGACATGAAGGCAGGGAGACAAGCTCACACGGTGCTGAATAAAGACTCCAAACGTCAAGCAACACGGAGAAACACGTGTAACAAGCACACCGCCACTGTATATTTAGAGCTTGCGTGTCTCTCTCCCCATGATCGCGTGAATTTTTCTCAGGGTCCTCCGGTTTTCCCTCCTACATTTAGAATCAACGTCACGCGTGTAGAATTATTTGGCTGCTATAAATTTCCGCGTGATGAACCACTTCGTTGGGCTATCATTTGTGGCCATGTCGCTTCTGTCAAAGAGCTACATAGCTCAATGGGCTTTACCTGGAAGTACAGCTATGAGCGGTTCCTGAATGCAGTTCTTCAGGAACTGCTGATATTTGTTTTTGCATAATGC